TAAATTGCCAGTTTTCTAAAATCTCTGTCTCCTCAATCTAGTGAGATTACTGTCCTATACTTGAGTTCCTTTTCCTTGTACCAAGCTCTGGAAAGTACTTTCTCCAGAAAGCTGAATTAGTCATAGAATTTATTTTGTTTCCCTTTTTCTTGTGGTTATAATCCTCTACTGCTTAGATGTTGAATATCTGTAATGAGGTTTTCATGCATTTTGCTTCTTTTCTAGTGGTTAACAACAAAAGGAATATCCAATTGCAGTTACTGTATTGTGACTAGAAGTACAACTTCTGCAACTCATGTCTGTTTAGTTTTGCATCTATTCTTCGATTTAGTTTCAATTTCTATTGGATCAGTTGTGCTGTTAAAGTTTCCTGTAATCCTATAGGATTACAAGATTAATCCTGTAATGATTAGGGGAAGAGGAATGTGAAACAGTTGCTTTACTTATCAAACATTAACATGAGCATTTAAAAATTTTATACTATGTTGATGGATTTGTATATTTTCTCATTCTATTAGATTTTGCTTTTACTATTTTGAGTCTGTAAAAGTAAATGCAAATACAAATATTGTTATATTTTCATGATAAATTGGGTATTTATTTTCTTTGTTTCTCTCTTATACTGGGAATTGAACCCAGAAGCTTCATAATGAGTTACATCCCCAGCCTTTTTTAAAATTTTTACTTTTGTGACATGGTCTCATTGAGTCACTTAGTTGCTCTGGCTGATCTTGAACTTTCAGTCCTCCTGCATCAGCCTCTCAGTGTGCTGGGATTATGGGCATGTGACTCCATACCCAACTCCCAGCTCTCATTTTTTATTTTGAGACAGCGTCTTACTCATTACTCAGGCTGGCCCTAAACTTGTGATCTTCCTGTCTCAACTTCACAAGTAGCTGGTATTACAGCTATGTGCCATTGTGCCTGTTACCAATTTCCTCCAGAATAATGGAAATGAGTCACAGAAGAAATTTTAAAATGACAGTGATAGTACAGCTCATTGAAACCTCTGGGACACTATAAAAATAGTACTAAGAAGAAAATTCATCACATTCAGTGTTCACTTTAGGAAAACAGAACAAACCCAAATAGAACCTTATGAGAAATATTCAAACACTTGAGAAACAGCACCAAACTAGCCACAAACTGAAGTCAGGAGGGAAATTATAAAGATAAAAGTGGAAATCAATGAAATTGAGATTTTAAAAAAATAATTGAAGAACTGTTTTTTGAAAGAGTAAATAAAATAGATAAGCCAGACTTACCAAGAAAAAGCAAGAAAAAACTTACATCAATGAAATTAGAAATAAAAATGGTGAAATTGCAATACTGGAAATCCAAAAGATAGTAACGCCTTCAGAAAATTATATTTCAACAAATTAACAAATTTTAAGGAAATGGGCAGATTCCTACATACATACAAACTACCAAAACTAACCCAAGAAAACATAAACATACTTAATGACCCAATAACAAACAATGAAATTGACACACTTGTAAAGAATCTACCGACTAAAAAAAGTCACTGGTGAACTATATAAAACCTTTAAGGATATTATATCACCTTTTCTCCTTAAGTTCTTCAAAGAAATTGAAAGCAATGGAGTGTTCCCAAACTCATTTGTGGAACCAAGAATCAGCCTGATCCCAAAGCCAGATAAAGCTAACTAAAAAAAAGAAACTATAGTTTCCTTAGTGAACATACATGCAAAAGATATTAGCAAATAGAATGCAGCACATTATCAAAAAGATCATATATCATGATCAAGTAGGTTTCATCCCAGAGATGCAAGGATGGTTCATCATATTGTAAGTCAAACATAATACCTCACATAAACCGAAGCAAGGTCAAAAACCATATGATCGTATCAGTAGGTACAGAAAAGGCTTTGGACAAAATGCAACTCCCCTTCATGATAAAAAAAAAAAAAACCTGAAGAAAACTGGTGTAGAAGAACTATATATGAATATGGTAAAAGCTGTCTATGACAAAACAATAGCCAGCATCATACTAAGTGGAGAAAAACTAAAAGCATTGCCCCTAAAATCGAAACTAAGACAAAGATGGCAACTATCACCTCTTCTATTTAATATTGTACTTGTTATCCTGAGCAACTAGGCAACAGAAAGAAAGAAAAGAAGTACATACAAAAGATAAATTATTGTTTGCAGGTAACATACTCTACATAGAAGGCCTAAAGGACTCCACCAAAAAAATAGAATAACAAACTTAACAATATGGTAGGATATAAAGTTATTATTTGTGTACACCAACCATGAACAGAATGAAAAGGAAATTATGAAAATAATAGCACTCATAGTAGCTTTAAGAAAAAATGAAATACGTAGGAATTAACCTAACCAAGGAATTGAAAGACCTCTACAAAGAAAATTACAGTACTCTAAAAAAGGAGATTGAACATTTCATTAGAAAATGGAAACATCTCCCCTGCTTTTGAATAGGCATAATTAGTACTGTCAAAATGACCACAAAACTGGTATATACGATTCACTGCAGTCACAATCAAAATACCAACACCATGATTTACAGATCTAGAAAAGATAACCCTAAAATTCATATGGAACAAAAAGAGACCCAGAAAAGCAAAAGAAACTTTGGACAACAAAAGTAAGTAGGAAGTATAGCAATATACTTCAAGCTATACTAAAAAGCAGTAGTGATAAAAATGACATAGTACTAGAACAAAAACAGATACATGGATTAGTGGAACAGAATTGAGGGTACAGAAACTTCAGTTATTTAATTTTCAACAAAAGAGCAAAAGTATATGTTGGGGGAAAGATGGTCTATACAACAAGTGCTGGGAACACCAATTATATGTATGCAAATTGAAACTGGACCCTTGTCTCGTATCATATACTAAGTTAAAATCAAAATGGATCAGAGATCAAAACAGAAACACTAAACCTACTGGAAGATAAAATAGGTAAAACATTTGATATATGGTGTAGGAAAGGATTTTCAAAACAGAATCTCAGTTGCATAAAAATTAACAGCAGTGGACCAGGGATGTCGCTCAGCAGCACTGCATCTACCTGGCAAGCACAAAGTCATCAGTTCAGTCCCTGGTACAAAAAACAAAACAAAAAAAAAAAGCAAAACAAAAAATGAACAAATCCAGAATCAACAAATCACATTATATCAAACTAAAAATGTCTGTTCAGCAAAAAAATCAGAGTGGAGAGACAGGGTATAAACTGGGAGTAAATTTGTCAGCTACTACTCAGTGGGCTAATACTTAGACTATACAAAGAACACTCCCTAAAATCAAAGATCCAGTCAAGAAATGGACCAGAGAAATAAAAAGACACTTCACAGAAGAAGTAGTACTAATGATCAACAAATACATGAAAAAATTCTCAACATCTCTGGCTATTAGAGAAATGCAAATTAAAGCTATGCTAAGATTCCATCCTACCAGAAAAAATAATAATCATTAAGAAAGCAAGCAGTAATAAATGCTAGCATGGCTATTCTGAAAAAGGAACCCTTCTTCATTATATTGGTGGGAATGTAAACTAGCATAACCATTATGGAAATCAGTATGGAAATTTCCCAGAGAACTGACATTAGAAAAGCCCATGTGAACTAACAATCCCCTTGCTAGGTGTCTTACCCAAAGAGCTTAAGACATTATTCTACAAGGATGCCTGCATACCATTATTTATAGCTACACAACCCAAAATAGTTAAATCCTGAAAACAGCTTGTATACCCAGTCAATAAATGAATAAAGAAAATGTGATATCTGTATATAATGGAATACTACTCTCCAATAAAGGACAGACTTGAGATTTGTAGGAAAATGGATTTACCTGTAAAATATGTTAAGTGAAATAAACCATACACACAAGCTTTCATTTGAGTGAGGCAAAGTACAAACAGAATAATAAAAGATAAATAAGGACAAGAAGATGAACCTCTTGTAATAGAGAAACAGTCCAGTGGAAAAAGCGCAAGGGGTGAGGAAAAAGCACAAGAGGTGAGAGGAAGGGAAGGGGAAAGAAATAGAATAAAGATATGCAATGTACAGGAACCTAATAACCTCAATTAATGTAAATATTATATGCTATAATGAACTAAGATTAATAATATCAATTAGAATGCAAAATGGGGTAGTAGAATTGGAGGAGACGGGAGAGAGGGAAAACAAATGAGAAAGGAGTTAAAAATAAGCAACTGGAAAGCACTTCCCTACAGGTTCCCAGAGCAGACAGAGAGAGTCAGACAGATCCCTCTGCCTGCCGGATGCTGCCACTGGAAGGCCCTTTCCTGGGGTGGCCAGTGGAAGCAGAGAACCAGCAGATCCCACCTCTATCTGCAGGGAGCTGCCACCAGAAGGTCCCTTTCTGCAGGTGGCCAGCAAGAGCAGGGACACATAGCCAGGTAAGCCCTGTCCACCTATAGTCTATCATTGGAGGCCCTTGGTTCCTTCAGGCAGCCATCACCCAATAGTGAAATCAAACAATTACAACCTTGTGTGTCTGCCACCATCGCAGGCGTCCCACTGTAGACATACAGCTGAGAGAAGCAGCCCCTCCTCCATGTACCTGTGATCATCAAGGAAGCTCCAGTGTAGCTGCACAAGTCTGGAGAAGCCTTTTCCATGCCCTGCTACCTCCCTGAATATCTGAGCTAAGAGGAACCCAGTTGCCTGTCCCATCCCCCTATACCATGGAGGGGCAGCTAAGGTGCGAAGTGCCCTGGTGCCCCACAATCAGCTTGTTGGGAGGAACCCAAGAGAATGTCAAGGTGAAGGAGCAAAAGGCAATCTTAGACCTCCAGCCCACACAGAACAAATCTAGGAAATAGCCAAAAGGCCAAAAAGCATTAATATCTCATTTTCCTCAAAAAAGTTGTTCATACCATCATATATATAGGACTTTTGTTCTTCTGTTTTGATTGGTTTTATCCTGTTGTGTTTTATATGATTTTATCATGTGTGATGGTATGGACAACTTTTTTGAGGCAAATGAGATATTATTGCTTCTTGGCGTTTTGGCTAAAATCAAGTGAAGTATAGTAGCCACTGTTCATTTCCTGTTATCTGGTTTTGAAGTTCTGTAATGCTTTCATTCTTTTGAATGGTTTTATACTATTTTGTTATGTTTGCTATTATTGTGTGTGAAGGTATGGTCAATGATTTTTTTTTTTTTTTTTTTTGGTCTTTTTCATTTTTATCGGTACCAGGGATCGAACTCACGACTGCCTGCTTACAAGGTAGGCGCTTATGCCGCTGAGCTAAATCCCCAGCCCCTTGGTCAATGATTTTTAAGAAAACAACAAACATTATGGTAGCCACTGTTGATGTCCTGTTCTCTTGTGAAATGCTATGTTGATTGCATTGTTCTGTTCTCATTTGCTTTGTTCTGTTTTGTTTTGTTTTATTCTCTTTAAAATTTAAAAAAAAAAAAAAAAAAAGAAGAAGAAGAAGAAGAAGAAGAATACCTTCCCTATCCCCTGTCCTGAAAAGAGTAAATACACATCTGGGTAAATATAAAAAAGACTGTTGCCTTTTCTTTTCTTTTTAGTTATTTAAAATATCCATAATTGTTAGGGGTAATAAAGCAAGGTAATATGTTAGAGAATAGCTAGAGGATATCTTTAGATTGAGTAGTTAAGGAAGCCTTCTTTATGTTAGTGACATCTGGTAAAAACCTGAGAAATGTGAAATAGCATGGTAATCTGAGAATATTTGAGGGAGTATAGTACAAATAGCATTGGGCTAGAATAGACTTTATTCTAGGAACATTTCTCTTTTTTTTTTTTTTTTTTTGAAAGTATACAACAGAACGAGTCAGAATAAAGCCAACTAAGATCATACAGTGAAATTGGTACAGAACTTCACAGCAGGTTACCGGGATAGCAGTAATAGGTATCATAGTATATTTTGTTATCTTTATAATAGTTGTTCTTTCAATCATGTATATCAAAATGAGATGAAATATAGAACACTATAGAACTTATCAAGACAGAATATTGAATAGAGCGGTACCATTAATCAGAAAAGAGCAAAACAATAATAAAAATATTTGCCTTCAAAGAAATGGTACAAGGAAATCCCCCTTCTTTGCTATGGTCAACCTCCAGGAGATACTCAGATTTCCGGTTTCCATTTGCTAATGGGCGGGGGGGGGGGGGAGAAGGAGGATAGGGGAAGTGGGATATTTGACTCTAGGCCATGTAGCAGTAGGTTCACTATTGCTAAGCAGGGAGGCAGGATGGTCATTTGCTTTCACAGTATCCAGTTCCAACATGGCGTGGATCTCAGGAGACACTGCTGGTTCTCCCCCTGGAAGGGCTACAGTGGGCCACACTGCCGCAACTTACCAGGGAGGGGAGGTGCTTGCTTGGCTTCCCAGAGTCCTAAGTTCCAACATGGCGTGGATCTCAGGAGACACTGCTGGTTCTCCCCCGGGAAAGGCTGCAGTCTGCCACCCTGCCGCCACTTAACCAGGGAGAGGAGGTGCTTGCTTGGCTTCCCAGAGTCCTGAGTTCCAGCATGGCGCGGATCTCAGGAGACACTGCTGGTTCTCCCCCTGGAAGGGCTACAGTCTGCCACCCTACCTCCGCTTACCAGGGAGGGGAGGTGCTTGCTTGGCTTCCCAGAGTCCTAAGTTCCAACATGGTGCAGCTCTCAGGAGACACTGCTGGTTCTCCCCCTGGAGGGCTGCAGTGGGCCACACTGCCACCGCTTACCAGGGAGGGGAGGTGCTGGCTTGGCTTCCCAGAGTCCTAAGTTCCAACATGGCGTGGATCTCAGGAGACACTGCTGGTTCTCCCCTTGGAAGGGCTACAGTCTGTCATCCTGTCTCCAATTACCAGGGAGGGGAGGTGCTGGCTTGGCTTCCCAGAGTCCTAAGTTTCAGCATGGCATGGATCTCAGAAGACATTGCTGGTTCTCCCCCTGGAAGGGCTACAGTCTGCCACCCTGTCTCCAATTACCAGGGAGGGGAGGTGCTGGCTTGGCTTCCCAGAGTCCTAAGTTCCAACATGGCGTGGATCTCAGGAGACACTGCTGGTTCTCCCCTTGGAAGGGCTACAGTCTGCCTTCCTGTCTCCAATTACCAGAGAGGGGAGGTGCTGGCTTGGCTTCCCGGAGTCCTAAGTTTCAGCATGGCATGGATCTCAGGAGACACTGCTGGTTCTCCCCCTGGAAGGGCTGCAGTGGGCCACACTGCCACCGCTTACCAGGGAGGGGAGGTGCTTGCTTGGCTTCCCAGAGTCCTAAGTTCCAACATGGTGTGGATCTCAGGAGACACTGCTAGTTCTCCCCCTGGAAGGGCTACAGTCTGCCACCCTGTCTCCAATTACCAGGGAGGGGAGGTGCTTGCTTGACTTCCCAGAGTCCTAAGTTCCAACATGGCACAGATGTCAGGAGACACTGCTGGTTCTCCCCCTGGAAAGGCTACAGTCTGCCACCCTGTCTCTGCTTACCAGGGAGGGGAGGTGTTTGCTTGGCTTCCCAGAGTCCTAAGTTCCAACATGGCGCAAATCACAGGAGACACTGCTGGTTCTCCCCCTGGAAGGGCTGTAGTCTGCCATCCTGCGTCTGCTTACCAGGGAGGAGAGGTGCTTGCTTGGCTTCCCAGAGCCCTAAGTTCCAACATGGTGTGGATCTCAGGAGACACTGCTCTCTAGGAACATTTCGAAGATTAGTGTTGATGAAATGGGTGGACAAGAAGACACGTTGAGGTAGTCAGTGTCTGTGTTAGTCTCCAGATTATGATAAAGAGTTTAATCTTTACAATTAAAAAAACCTTTGCGGAGTTTATCTAGGGAAGTAAATCTTTTACATTTGGTTCAAAAGTCATGTACAAATATCAAGGACAGTAGGAAATGTATTACTCTGCTGCCATTATCTGCTTAAAAGGAAGGATGCTGCTGGGTGTTGCAGGTGTCTATAATCAGAGTACTCTGGGAGGGCAAGGAAAGATAGGAAGGCAGGAAGATAGGAAGTTCCAGCCCAGCCTGGACAATTTGGCAACTTGGTGAAAATAAAAAAGAACTTGGGATATAGGTCAGTGTAAAAGCCCTGGGTTCAGACTCCAGTACTACAAAACAAAAACAAATACAAGAAGGAAAAAAAAAAAAGAGAAAGCAAGGAGAAAAGGAGGATGTTACTAAATTGGGAAAGATTTCATGAAACTAATAGCTACTGAGGAGTATGGTTATCATAATGGGAAATTAGGATTAATGAAGAATGAGGATAAAATTTTAAAGAAGAATCCAACAAATCAGACCTGTTTGCTCATGCACATGGTGTTTTGGTTTGGTTTTGATATGTGTATAACAACTTGTATAGATGAAAATATAGGTAAAGTTTCCATTTTAAGAATGACCAAAATAGTATAAATGAAAAGAGGATTTTAATAGCTTGAAAGAAAAGCCTTTTGTGGCTGAGCATGGTTGCATACACCTGTAATCCCAGAACTCCTGAAGCTGAGGCAAGAGAATCACTACAAATTTGAGGCCAGCCTCGAATTTGTGAGACCTGTTTAAGACAAAGACAAAGATGAAAATGGAGGGGTGAGGGAAGAAGAAGAACTTTTGTGCAAATTTTGAGAATGTATTTTTAGTAAGAGATTTCACGACTAAAGCTAGATTGTTTTCAGAAAAGGATAAATGTTAGAAAAGTGGGTGGCGAGAAAGCAAAGGCAAATACACAGAGATCACTTGAAGTAAATTCATATGCCTTGCACTAGCTGGCTCAAGGGAACCATTTTCATAAAGCAAATCTAGTTAGTAACTAATATGTTATAGCTTTCAGTATTTTACCTACTATCAACACATGTTCTTGTCACAGGATTAGATTTTGTCTTGTAGAATTCAAATTCATTTTTGTAAAAAGAATAGGAATGATTTTAGGATACTAATGGACATATATACTTTAAACCATTTCAAGAAAGGATATCTATTTAGTACTTTTACAGCTGAAGCCTGGGCATTGTGGTGTACTCATGTAATCCCAGGATTCTGGGCTCTGGAGCTGGAGGATTGCGAGTTTAAATCCAGCCTGGGCAATTTAGCAACTAGTCAAGACTGAATGTGAAAATAAAGGAAAAAAAAAAAAAAGCGAGGAGGGAGCTGGGGATGTAAGTCAGCACAGAAGCCTTGGATTCAGTCTCTAGTACTGACAGACACACAGGAAAAAATTACTAAACAGATCTGGAAACTGAAAAATCTAATCTATATTAAATGCCCCTTTTTGTCCTGTTACAGAAATCTTTAAGAAACTGAAGCAAACACTAATGTACCAATAAGAAAAATTCTTGGGTGTGTTTGTGTGTGTTGTTATAGATGAAGCTCAAGGTTTTGTGTGTGCTAGGTACCTATTCTACCACCTAGTCTTCTGGAATCTGGAAAGTCATTTTTCTGACCTTTAAAAGATATGTTTCTAAAAACTTTCTTTTTTGAAGATAATTGTTATAAAGTATTTGTCATGTCATTTCACATATAGAATTGTGAAAGTCAAATGTGGAAATTAATATGAATTTGACTTTGTTCAAACCCTGACAGTTACAAAGTACTGCCATTCAAAAGTATATCAATTTTTTTTCCTTTTTTGGTACTGGGAATTATAGTGATACATACCTAGTCATTTTTTGGTTTTGTTGTTTTTTGTATCACTGAGTTACCCATGCTCCCCCAAATTTGCAGTTCCCCTGTGTCGTACCTTCCTGAATAACAGGGATTACAGATATGCACCACTATGCCTGTAAAGAAGTATATCTAAATTTGTATTATGCTCATACATGTGCATCCCTTAACTATAAAATTTTTTTTCCTGTGTGTCTAGACATTACCTAGGTGATGCTGTTTTGTATGCTAATTACTCTAACAATATTTTTTCTTTTTTTTAAATTTTATTTAAGGAGAAAAAGAAAAAAAAGCAGAAAAAGGGTACAAGTTATACAGAATTTCAGAAAAAAAATAAACAGTAGGAAATCACTAGTTAATGGAATACATATTGTCATCTTAGAAATATTTGTTCAAGTTACAAAATTAAAGCATGTAAAGTGGACATTCACACAGTGAGACTGCAAACAGTTCTGTTCAATGATCCAACAAAACTCAGTAACATCATTGTCTATCTTATACACTTAAATATACATGCAGTTATATCATTTAGAGCACTTTCTTTTCCTCTCTTTTGTACAATGACTATTACACTTTTTGGGTTTTATTACTCCCACAGTTCTTACTACTTTTTTGGAAGAAACTAAAACCAAATGTGACATAACAGAACAGAGTCAGTCAAATCAAAAGGGTGGACATAATAGATAATGTAAAAACATAATATAAGGTGATCAACAGTGGTTACCATAATGCCTCCCGCTATCTCCAATAGAATTGCCTATATCATCAGTTATAATAAAATTGAACAAAACAGTAAAGAACGAAACCAACAGAACCAAAACATTGGAGACATTACAGGTCTTCAAAAGTAGATAATAGTCAACCAGAATGATCATCATAATGAATCCCAC